ACATCACCTATAATATCGAGTATATTTATAGAAAAATATGACATTCTTGTGTTGATTTTATTTGTTTGTATTTCCAGTTTCAGAGTTTTATGGCCCGAAATACTGAATACTTGAACACAAAGGCAATGGGACATATTCTCACATGCCCAATTTATTTGGAAGGATAATCGGCATGTATAGTTATTATGTCTATTTCTATGTCATGTTTTATTGGTCAACATTCATTAGAAAAATCGTTACATGAGTTTTTTACAATATATAATCATGCATAGATGCACAACGTCTCAGCTTTTTCGAGCATGGATTTCAATCCTTCCAAATTCGCTTTCAGGGAGCAGAAAAAGGAGTTTAGCCTTCTTAGGCACGGGTAGGGATAGACTCAAGCTTTTATGTGAAAATAGGTCCGATCAGGCTTTGGGGAAAAAAAACTTGGCCCGATCTCTTTTTTAGATCTGGTTTTGTTTTGGGCTTCGAGCTACTTCAGGCTTTTTTGTGCAAATTTGTTCTTGCATAAATATATGCAAGCACTGTAAAATCGTACATCATAAGCATATACATGTATATACTGATTGTATATATATACAAACATGTATCAGATAATTATGCTACTTTTTCAGATATTATAAAAATTACTCATTTCACGAAATACAAATTTCTCAAAACCATTCTAACAAACCAAAGATTCCGTATAGAATTTTCTATCTAACAAATTTCATTTAATATTTGACAAAAATGAAATAAAATGAACAGGGTGATTGTTAACTTTCCCAAAATATATTACTGGACATATCTGTAATAAGAGTTTATGACAATACAAATGTTATTAGGATCCTTTTTAATATGATATAAATATTTAAATAATATCATATTTCATATAAGTACAGTTTCAAATAACCACATATGTTGACATATAATTCTATCGTGCACATATGCCATTTATGACGACCATGTTCTAATTAATAAATACTTGTGCGGAAAAGTTGTATATATATCATGTGCGTGTTACTTATGATGATCTTTGATACTGCTTCGGGTCTATAAGACTACTCAGGCATTAGACTTGACAAATTTAGTCTTGTTTTGATTGCACCTATGAGACATAGACGTTTCGTGTTTGTTTTAGTACCGAATAATAGATGGTATAAAACATCCAAGCCATCGTACGCTTAGGTTTATCTGCTTAGGTCAATATTATGCAAATATATAGATATATGATGCAAGTAGTTTCTTAGATTTAGATCATCGGATTATATGGATTAATAGTTGTTGGTAATTGATATGTATAACGTAATTCAAGGAATCAAATCTTTTTGACTTCGACAAACGTAACTGCATATGACAGAAGGTACAGAAATCATGTCACGCGTTTGAAGATAAGGGTAGTGGTTAGTAGGGATGAGACCACTTCCCTTAACCCTAACCCCACATGACATGCATTGGTTTGAAATGGCTAGGGTGTGTATGCATCTAATGGACCCCATCTTTAATTTTAACCCATTCGGAAAAAAAATTATGTTTACGAGGATAAAATCTTGTAATTTTTTGTCGATGCAATCTTGATAAAGCAAACCCTGATCTGGAATTGAATTCAAGATTTGTGGGTAATAATGAAAAGTTCCCAATCCCTCGTGTAAGCTTAGTTTGGCTTATATCGGTTTCGTTCTTGATGCTGACTTCCACTACTGTAGGTACCCCTCAAAGATCAGCAAGGCACCCGACGAAATTTGTAGTAAAGGATCATTTGAACTTTCACCATAACTGGGTGTTTAACCATCCATTTCCTATGTGATAAATATGTTATTCAAGATAAGTCATTAAAGTTAGGGGATGTTATGTATTTTTCATGTAACCTAAAAAACTAATCTTATTCCAACAACTGCTTACTTGTGTCTAAGGAAATCTGATATTTTAGCCTTACAACATTAGAAAATCATAATTAGATTTGTAAAATACTGCGAAATTTATCTGTTACGACTTGAATTTATAATAATTAGGTTTCCACATATTTAAAATCATTAACCAATGAGAATATGTGATTAAGTTTTATATGTTGATAAATTAGTTGAACCTTGATTTGTCGCATCATGTACGTCTGCTTGGTCCCGAACCCACAAATGAGGTGTGGACGTGTGGTTGTAGATAAATAACTCAACTTTCGTCCTTTGAGGAATAAGAGGTTACTGCTTGAGGGATCTCTTTACGGTGTTGACATGATATGTACTGTCATTCATCAACTAGTTGTTAAGGAAACAAATATTGTTATATTATGCAAAACACGTTTCTAATTTTTTAAGGTCATTTGGCAACATCATGTGACGTTCACATTATAAATATATGTAAATCGTGTATTAGTGAACTTCTAAATATAAATATTAGTGCACATGATAACACACTGAAATCATACTACAAATCCTATAAAACCAGTTTGAGAAAAGCAAAGGCTGGATGCTTTTATCATTTTGGGTCTGTACAATGTAGATTGTCCTTTGTACATAATTTATACCTGACAATGCCATAAGACAGAATAATAATGTTAATGACAGTAAAATTTTGATATTACCGTCGTAGTTAAAACTTGCTAATTTGGTCCAAAGTCGCTTTTTGGCCAATCGATTCCCCTTTAATTGTTTGGTTATATCAGTATCGTGTTAAGCTGGATGAAATTTAAATAAGAAGAACAACAAACTTTTAAGATCAAACTTATATTTCGGGAGTATAAATAACGCTATTAAGCATTATGACGTAGCACAATTCTTTCTACAGATGTCGTATACTTGCAATTGCATAAAGATGTGTGGGTTCGAATATGACAGCCACAGTGTCAGAGTTGCGATTCTTTTGAGGTTTGAGTTCTTTGTATGCACTGAACTCTTAGGGGCTGTTTGGCGGTTGCTGAATGGTTTGGTGCAGAATGGTTAAGTGGTTAGAATGGTTAAGAGGGCCAGAATGGTTAAGTGCTGAATGAAATAATGTTGTTTGGTAACTGTTCTCTGAATGACAATAAATTACCATTTTAACCCTCTGTTTTGAATACCAAAAGACCTTCCATCCATGTCATCTTCTCGATGTGGGTTTCGACACATAAGACAAAATATTCAATGTTTTTGACCGGAAAACACCCAAATCCGCCATGGATGTCAACTGAGAACTCAAAATTCCGAAAGTTTCGTCGGATAAATCAGGTAATTTCATGGTGTAAGTCGAGTTCATCTATTCCAAAAACGCAAAAACAGGTTTAAGGTACGAATTATGTAAGCATTTTGAGGTAATAAAAATAGAAACTTTAATTTTCTCTCTAAACCCCATCTAACAAGAGAATGATGAATGTTCACCATTGCAGCAGCTGTAAATCTTGAAATAATTTATTGATTTTCCAAACCCATTTTTGTCACAGAGAAGCTTATTCGATACCACAATGGAGTTTACGTTTGTGATCAGTTTCTTTTTCAATGTCGATTTGCTGTCATACCTTTGACCGGAATTTGGACAGCCGGCTCCGGATATGCCCATTTGGTTTTGCTACTACATAGACCCATTTGTGTGGATGGAAAGGGGAAGAAAATGGTGGAGATTAGGAGATGATGAGAAGGGGAAGTCAAAACGGATTTAATAATATAAGTTACAGAAGAGGATGAATGAACGTGGTGAGGTGGAGGAATTAAAAAAGAGAGAAGAAGGGAAGAAGGTGTGAAGGAAGAAACGCTGTGGAAAGGTGAAGGGCAAATAAGGAAGAAAATGGTTCTGAACCATTAGGCAAGCCCTTACATGCTAAATCGTTAAGAGATGATTGTAACCATTAAGAGGTTCAATTTTTTATGCCAAACAACTCCAACCTCTTACCGATTAAGAGGTTCCCTCTTAATGTCACCATTAAGAGGTTACCAAACAGCCCCTTAAGCCATCTATCCAAGAGTCCGTTGTGTACTTTTGTTGCCTCTCACACACGACAGTCCTCAAACTAGACAGCGTAGGCCAACTTAAACGTTATCAATTACAAACCCTTTTGTATAAACGAGGTTACCTGAACAACGTAGACATGATATAATTATTCTAGAATTATAACTACGTGATTAATATTTGGTTTGTAAACAAATAATAATTAAATTTAACGCTATGTTCTCGAATTTGAAGAAAATAAAATAATTCATCCAACCCGTTATGCGAACCGACTAATCCCAGATAACCGCCTGTTTTACAGATAGCACAAAGTAAAAAGTTTTGAAAACACGAATTTTTTTTACTGTTGTTTTTCCTTTTCTAGATATCGTTTGTAAAAAGGTTGATGAGAAATAGTGTAAAAGAAATAGGAATACAAAATGGGGCCTCCAACCACCAACCCACCCACATGCCCATACCTCATCCGTACATTTTCTCCATGCCCAATCCAGTTATATGTCTATCTCTTCCATTTATGTCTTCTATTTCATTTTTCACGTACTTTTTTTTTATTATTATTATAAAATATTTCATTTTTCACGTACTTTTTTATTACTATTATAAACTATTTCGTTGTTTACCTCTTAATAGTTTCATTGAGAGACAAACTCTGAATCATTAAGAGGTGAATCTTGTTTGGCGAAAAAAAATCTGCCTCTTAATGATTCTAAAATCCTCTGAATGATTTTGTACCATGGGCCTTTCTTAACCATTGAACGCCCTAATTTCATTGTAAATAATTACCAAACAATTATATTTCATTTTGTACTATATCATCAGAGCCTCTTAATCATTCTAACCACTTAATTATTTTGCATCAAACCATTTAACAACTTTCAAATAAATTAGGTAACATTATGGACAATAATAAATGTTTAGTAAATAACTTCTAAGTTGATAATTCTTAATTTATGAGAGAGAATATTACATCAAAATCAACCAAAATCACATTAGTTGAATAAATAAGAAATCAATTAGGAAGGAAGGTGTGAAAGTAAAAGAAACCCAAATCAATCTTTGAAGCAATAAGATTAAAAGAAGGATATAATGAGAACACGATATAATTTTCTATAATAAAACTGAAAATGGTTCAACCCCATAATTACCATACTAAAATTTCACAATCCATGAAGAAAAATCAAGAAACGAGAAGAGTTAGTTTCGGATTAACAAGAAGAACATCAAACCCAAAACATCTCTCGAGATCAGAAATCAGAAATTTTAGGAAAAATATATAGATTTACATAGGAGATCCAAGTCGTTATATCTCCATTTTCACTTTCTGTTATTTGTTTTTGGTGGGTAAAATGTTCTTGTGATTGAATTGGTACCTGAATTGGAGATGTTAAGGAAGATAATTAAGCTGATGATGGTGGTCATGGTCATGGTCATGATCATGATCAACCCACTGAGTTTGATTCCAGTATGATTGATCAACACTGCCTGTTAGATCAAACAATGCTTGATCTGTACCATTATTCCAATCCTCTGTGCCAAGTCCACCGTCGGTTGTTTTGTGCTGCAATCCCATGAACCCTAACGGACTCGTTTCCTGAACCTTCAAATCATCTCCAATGGTGTGATCTGTGTGAATCCATTGCTGTTGGTTCGAGTTCGAATTTTCTACGATATGACCGGTGTGATGCAACCGGAACGGCGATGTGTCGGCGGAGATGTTGAATCCTAGCGGCAATTGAGTGGTGGATGAGGTTATTAAGCTCGTGAATGTTCCGATCTCCGGGAATATGTTGTTTTCGGCGGATGGGTCATCCAGTAACGGCGGATCGAAGCTAGGGTTAGGAGTTGACGACTGAGTGATATTGAGAAAACTTGTGGAGGATTCCGGGAAATTAAGCATCGTCGGTGCGGAGTTTGTCGAATTAATGCCCGACAAAACCTCCGCGACAGGTGCGGTTACGGTTGCGGTTGTGGTTGTATTTGCCGTTACCGTCGTATTCGCCGCCGTGGTGTTGGCGGTGAGGCTAGAGCTGTCACTGCTCGAGTTTTGTGAATTCGAAGATTTCCGTACGGCAGTTTCAGAGGAACGATTATTGTTAGACTTCGGTTTAGAGCGTTTGGTTTTCCGGCAACCACCCCCGACGGGGACGTTACGGAGTACACCGCCTTTGGTCCAGTACCGCCGGCAGTTCTTACAGAAATGACGTGGCTGAGAGAGGTTATAGTTGTTGTAGTAACAGAATTTCGTGTTCAACGATTCACAACGTGGACATTTCAAAGCTTGTGGACCATGACCTTGGTGGTGATGATGAGGTCTCAACCGCCTATCACCACCGCCGCCACCGCCGAACAACCTCCCTCCTCCACCACCACCACTCCCAATCGAGTGTATATCCTGCATTTCTTCCAAAATGAACACAAATCCAGCCAAATCTCACACCGAATTTTCGAAAAACTTGAATAAATTGAATCAAAAACACGAAATTAGCAACGAAATTGAGCTCACATTTGCCGACTATTGTTTCTCTCTCTAGAAAAATTATGAGTGAGAGAGAGAGTGAGTGATGATGATCAGGAAATATCTCTCTAATACAAAAAACTGGAGTATTATTCTGTAAGAATAAATGTAGTGCTTGAACCGAATTTACCAAAATAACCCTCGCAGGCATATAAAATAACCACCTCTGTGAATGAGTAAGATTACGCAAATACCCCTACAACTCCTAGGTAAGCAGAGTTACTGTAATGAGGGGTGTAGGTAAGGTGTAATTTCCGATGTAGCTCTCACTCTGATAAAAAATGACGTCGTTTTCGACAAATTTTAAAAATAATTTTTTTTATTATTATTATGTAATACCTATACAAAGATATATTCTTCACATATACATATACATATACATATACATATACATATACATATATCGGGAGAGAGATTGTGTGTGAGATTCAGGTAAAACGCTCTAAAAAATTAAAAACTTACAAACATCTTAATACCGTTAATTTGTATGGTATGTATTGGTTCTCAAAAATGATAACTTATATCGAAAGTATTTGTAGAATGGAGGGGGTGAATACAAACACAACAGATTTGGTTTTTTAATTCTCTTCTATGATTTGTATAAAAATTACAGATTTGTTGTTGGAGTTAAGAAAGTAAGACATATGATCTTAAACAATCTTACAATGACAAATTTACTAAACTGAAAAAAAGAGGGAAGAAGGTTCTCTTCGATATCCGAAGAACTAAGAAAGTTTTTGCAGATGATGACACCAATTTTACTTAAAAAAAAAACACGTACAAGGATGTTCTTTGGAAAACGGGTTAGTTGTATTGAATGACAGGTGGTCTTTCATAGCCATCTTCGCATTAAATGCTTACTGTCCAACTCTAATACGTGTCTTCTTCTGTTTGATTGATTCATTTATCTTATTACTCTTCATTTCAACCTTTGATTTTGATGTAGACTATTTGTTAACTTACTTCATTCTTATATATGCATAGCGAACAGTAAAGTAAGCAAAGTACCAATATAATGATGTTTTTTGTAGTTACTTAGGCTGACATGTTGTACATGTTCTCATATTAAAAAATGAAGTATGGGAGTTAGTGAGCCAAACTTGTTGGCCAAGTTTGTATTTCAAGATTCGGGCTTGCTAATTGCTAGTAGTAGTATTTGTTAGACTACTAGTTGATTTTATCTAGTATTAATCTTCTTGTTAGCCAAATGACAAACCAATCTGCTTTAATGACGATCTTGACCTTACTTCACCTAGTCTTCGATTTTGTTGAATGCATTCTGCTCTTGGATTAATACAGATGGATACAGACTTTTACAATTATAAACCTCTCTTTTTCTATATATGGAATATAAGCTATATAATGGATTTACCGGGTATAGAATCTTATGAAGGTGCTACATCGGATACAAACTATAAGTTGGTAAAACAAATCCCTTTATCCGATAGAAGAATGAATTGGACTAGGATCAGATGAATGTCTTGGTGAAATCCAACTGTATATAGACATTCCAATGGGTGATATATCTGAAACTTCAAGAAAGTACAGACCGGATGACATCAACTATGGGATATTATCCGATGTAGTAGCGTACATCGAATATCGTTACAAGTTAAACAAGAACATTTTCGTTTCTAAGTGTGTGGTAAGATGTTTATGAGTATTATTACTAAATCTGATGGTTGAGACCAATAATATGCTTATGTAATAAAAAATTGAAGATGTTTTCTTATTTTTATGCATGTGTGCTTATTATGTACATGTGCATACCAGACAAATTACGTGTATACACATGTACGTATAGATGAATAATTATAAGAATGTTTCTCAGTTTTTCATTTTTCAGTAGTTGTCTTTTGAACCTGGCCATGTATATATTATATAATTTATGAATTTATATATAAGCTTGCAATTTAATGAATTGTTTGTTTTTAATATAATAAAATGATATATACAATTAAGTAATCATGATAGAGGGTTATGAGGATTTCTTAGGGGCCGTTTACCTAAATGCTTATCCGGTAAGCGCTTATCATTAAAAGTCAACACTGTAATTTATTTTACTGGGTAAGATTGTAGTATATCAAAATGGTGTCGTATGCAACAATTTATCCTGTAAGCGCTTACTCGGGTAAGAATCGTGATCCTCACTTACAGAGTAAGACTCTTCATCTTTATCATTGCTCTTACCGGGTAAGATTGTTGACCCTTGCCATGTTCATCCGGTAAATAATATTATCCAATAAGCACTTATCAGGTAAACATTTAGTAAACGGCCCCTTATTGGTTTAAATTTTAATTTTTACAAAATAAGTAAGCTTAAAGCATACAAAAATCGCTTAAAATTTTCTTTTAGTTTGGTGATATTATTAAAGGTTACATATTATTGACTTATACGATACAACTTCGACATCTCATCTTCGACCCCATCATCACTACGCCCCAACCACCTATTATTGTTACCATGGTCGGGTCTCCATGTCTCCCCCTATGTTATCTTCATTGTTGTCCTACTGATAACAACTTCCCTATGGCAGGGACAGGCCTGTAGTGGCGCATACGATGACACGTGCCACCGTATTATTCCTTTGTCAAAGGGTAAAAAAAATGTTTGTGAAAGGTGCAACCGTATTAATTTGTTGTGTACCACTGTATGTATTTTGAAACTACAATGAGAACAAGTTTTATTTGATAGAGTTGGTTTACAAGACTTTTATTCCACCCCAGACCCAAGTAAGAATCTTGTTAGTATCATTTTCTTAGTCAAATGGTGACCTGTTTGAAAAAGATGTGTATATTTGTTTCTTATAATCAAATGATGCCACCGTTTGAATTTTTTTTAGTCCGTCCCTGCCCTATGGTCCTAAAATTTCTTAAAGAAAAGTTTTAGTCGTTATATTTTGATCACAAAACGTATAGTTGTCTACTTAACATCTATATCTTGACTATTAAACATTCACACACACACATACATACATACATACATACATACATACATACATACATACATACATACATACATACATACATACATACATACATACATACATACATACATANACATACATACATACATACATACATACATACATACATACATACATACATACATACATACATACATACATACATACATACATACATACATACATATATAGAGAGAGAGATAGATTGTTTGTGTGAATGAGAGAGAGTCAGTGAATGTGTGTGTGAGAGAGATAGTGAGATAGAGACAGGATAGTTCGGTTGAGCACCTAATTTTTGTTGCAAATTGGTGACTAACAAGAGCGTCACACATGTCATTATTCATCATGAATAATGGATGTAATTTTTTTTACAACATTCACGATGAATGCTACATCGTTGATGATAAATACTACATCATTCATAATAAATGTCTCGTGAATATCCAAAGCATGTGACACACTCTTATTGGTCATGTCGTTCACAATATACGAGGATTCAAACAAGAAGTCGGTCATCTTATGAGAAGGATGTAATCATATGTGATTTACAACACGTCCAGCAGGGTTACACTTAACCATTGTACGATCGTGTTTTTCACACAACTTTGGTCGCATAGAATGAATCGCCTCGTCACGTTGTAAATCACATGTGACTTGACTTTTCTAACACTTCTCGTAAGCTGACCGCATCCTCAATTTTCCTCCTTTTATATACACATACATGCACACACGAGTTATGGTCGAGAAAACAAGACAACTCTTTGATGCTTTGTTCAATACATCACCGAATTTTGCCGGTATTTTAGACTTTAAAAAAAAAATAAGAAACCTTAAAAATTATGTTGGTCCCCGTTACAAGCGAAATTTTATGACATCAGAAAAATGTCAATATATGTGTGCACATTTATTCACGTTACGGAACTAGTTAATGACGTCTGGCACGATAGCCAAACAGTTAAAAAAAATTAAAACCTTAATAAATGAAAAGGTAATAAACAAACTTTAAGAGCATTTTCAACTACTGCTCTAAGGGGTGTTTGGTTATATGTATTAATCAGTAGTCAATGGGAGTGATAATAACAGATATTCTTTGGTTTTATATAATATAATGAGTTCATTCCCCCAAAAGCCAAATTTTCATTCCACGTCAAACTGGGGGGAATGAAAAGTCATTCCCATTTTCATTCCACAATCTGAACGAAACAACCACTAGATTTTCTTTTAGATAAAGTGTCAAAGGGTAAATTTTCTAAAGAAAATTACATTCTAATTTAAGCGGATACTCTATTTTGTAAATTTCAACATTAATTATATTATTAAAAATATTATATAAGTTTATCATCTCAGTACAATTTAAAACAGTAATACATTCAACTTAATTGGTGAAAACAGTTAAAATAATATTTCTCTTTCATCGATATTGAGTTTTAAATATTTTATGTTCGGGTATTGTTATATGTACATCTATTTATATCAAAATCAGGCGAAATCATACATTAATGTATGATTGATGGTTTGATATTAACCACAAAGGTGGTACCTGATTGGTTTGAGCTTGACTCCAAATGTCAAAAAGTATCAGGAGGTTCTAGGTTCAAATCCGATGAGGAATAAAAATCTCATTGTGGCCATGGAGGTTCAAATGCAGTGACTTCGGACTATCTGCAAAGCAGGTAGTCGCCCTGGGATTTGTCGGCTCGCATAGTGGGTCGGATATCCAGGTTAATCAAAAAAAATATGATGGTTTGATATTAATGTGTGTGAAGATGATGACATCAATAAGTAGGTGAACAAATGTCCGTTTAACTATTTTTTTATTTTCTTGTTTTTTCTTTATTTTAAAATAACTGTTAAAACAAAATAATTTTCAAAATTTCTGCATCTTTGTTTTAAATCAGTTATTGTAGATGCTTTAGGGTCGTTTTACCTGGTAAATGTTCCAAATCAAATTATTTTACCGATGAACATAACAAGGGTCGTAAATTTTATCCGGTAAGAGCGATGAGAAAGATCGATAGTCTTACTCGGTAAGTGGGAGTGTTGATTTTTAGCTGATTGACGC